CTCGCTTGAGCGAGAATGAGGGACACATCCGCATGTTTCAGACGGGTATTTCGGTTGGCTTTTTTCTGTGTTGTCTGCGGGGTCGTGAGAGGTTGAGGCGAGGAAAGCCTTGAAAAAACGAAAGCGGGAGGTGGGTTAGGTTCAAGGAATATCAATGGAGGAGGGAGGGCAATCGACCCAGAGGTGGGATGATAGGACCAAACGACGTACGTATACACCTTTAACAATAGAGATTTTTTTACATGGCTTTAATAATAGAGATAGATAGATATATACTGTATATCTCTAACACACCTAAAAGTGGAGTATTTTGTACTTATACTTATGGGTAGAAAGAAGATATTATGCTCGATTTTGTTATTAAATAATAAATCCCTAATAATAAAGCAGCTACTGTAATTGTGCATGCATAAGGCACATTCCATTAACATGACAGAAATATATTTACATTTCATTAACATAACAAAAATTATTAAAAATTTACAAGGTTTGTTTTGTTGGTGTTCTACGCAGTATCCCAACAAAGACATTTTTTGCTAATATAGTTTACATTGATGGAATAATATTTTTTTGCAATGTACCAATGCTAAGTATCCCATAGAATCAAAATAGTACCACATACACTCTTCCTTTTCTTTTGTGATTTTTCTCTTCCTCGGGTAACCGTTGTTCCAGAAACTGCTTTCCACGATTGACTTTTCATCGCATCGCAACATATTGTGCCAAGTTAGACCAAGCTCCAAGCAAAGCCATGAGAAAGACTTGGAGCATCCATATCCACATCAGCCATTTCGACCTGTTGGTTTCTGCTCTCCACTCTTTCATAAGCATATTTTGCCATTGCCCCCAACATCGCCTATATGTATGTGTGTGCTAAGGGCTTTTTTATTCAATTAGTGATAGAAAATTGGAAACAAACTATTTCAATTACACTAGCAATAGATTTAAAGGGCCTACTGCATTCAAAGGATTTACATATAAATCTTGAAGAACTGGAATCATTAGAAATTTTCCTATTTTCTTTTAGCAAAAATGAGTTCTTTGATTTGTGTGACCGCATCCCATAATTTTCCCCTATGAATTCTTTGGCACTACATTTTGTGCGAGTGTTTTCATTCGCTCAAACCACTTGGAAACAATCCTCCCGTTCCGCTTGTGACGCAGTTAAATAAACCAAAATCTCCAAATATTCAAAATGATTTCCCCTTTTAGGAGGATTTCACATTATTCCTAACTCTAGTTTTTAGAATCTTACAAATCAAAGTGACGCAGTGTCTTTGCCATCAGTATCAATGCTAGTCCAACTACCTCATCCGTGTTTATGAGTGATGCACCGAAAGTCCAAATATATAAAGGTATTTGAGAATTGCAAGGTTGTCCTACGACTACGTAAATGCATATTTAAACATTGAAAATGCGTCAATCGAGTTACCAGAGTCTTTATCCGTACAACACAAGCTTTGATCCACACATGTGCCCTGTTGGTTTACCACCGCAACTTTGGTAATATGTTTGCAAAATACCTCCTCAAAAAGCATGTCTTCTAATTTCATGGCACTTCCATTGTCGTTACATTGGTTGATATTATGCTTCGATTTACTAAAAAAATATGTCTCCCTTAGCACACACACTAAATTAATGGCAACGAGTATAACATGAATATGCAGAGCATGCAAGAATGGGTGAATACGCGAGAGAGCATGAGTCGATGTATAGGTAAGACTGGAACCCTATAGAAGACCGGGTACAATGCGAGGCGAGGGGTAGGAATGGGAGAAGATGCGGCTGCCTGACGATGCATATGGGTTGAGGGAGTGCGTAGTTTTCGCTCGAGCGAGAAAGATGGACACGTCCGTATGTTTCAGACCAGTTTTTCGGTTTGCTTTTTTATGCGCTGTCTGTGGGGTCGTGATAGGTTGAGGCGAGGAAAGCCTTGAAAACCCGAAAGCGGGAGGTTGGTTCGGTTCACAGGATGAAACGATGTATGTATACACCTTTAATAATAGAGATTTTTTTGCACGGCTTTAATAATAGAGATAGATAGATATATACTGTATATCTCTAACACACATGACACATTAAAGTGGAGTATTTTGTACTTATACTTACGGGTAGAAAGAAGATATTATGCTCGATTTTGTTATTAATAATAAATATTTATCAAGCCCAAGCGGCAAACCCTCGGGCCCATTTCACTTGTGTGTGTCACGCTTTCCATTTCCCATCTACCTCCCTTGCTCGCATCTCCAGTTTTCCACCTGCTTTCCTCTGCACCGCCCAACCACGCCGCCGCGGCAGCTCCAGCCGCCGGCGCCGCCCCTCTCACGGGGCGCCACCGCTCCGGCTGCGCCGGATCTAGGTACACACCGTGATCCCACCCCACTCACCAACCCACAAACACAACACACACTGGTTCCGCCATCGACCTTTCCGGCTGCTGCCGCTCGTCTCCGACGAGAGCGGGAGCCGTTGAGGCAGCGGCTTTGCGCCTACGCTGTTCCTGTCACGAAGGGGGCCGTCTCGTTTCCACCCTGGCACCGCAAGAGGAGGAAATACAGCAAGATCTAGGGTTTAATTACCTCTGACTTCTCGTGCGATTTGTTGCTCTTTTTGGTACAAAGCTGCGATTAATTTCACCGAAATCTGGCAATCGGTTGTTGAGATCTCGATTTTTTGGTGGATCCAGTGTTTGACATTAGCAGGAAGTTGCAAGTGCATTAGTGGAAAGTTGAAAGTGTTCTGTTGAATTTTGGTGCATACTGTTTTATTGAGAAATTGGGTCCCGGATCTCTGGAAATCTGCTAAAACATTGCTGGAAATTAGCATGATAAGTTTGCTAAAATGTTTTTTTCTTCTGGAAGTTCATCCTAAGTTTCTGAAACTTCACGTAATTTAATTTGAAGTACAGTTTCGTTTATTTTGTCTGAAATCTCGTGGCGTACAGTTCAGACTTGTTGAAAGGTGGTGTGAATTCTTATAAAAGTTGATTTAAACCTCTGTTTGTGGCAAGTTCTTCTTTTTGTCCTTGTTTCAGTTTTGAGAGCCAGCACAAGTCGGCATAATGTCTAAAATGGAAATCTGACAGCTCAATGTGGCTGTTGGAAAGGAACGGCTGGCTTTCTCCTGAGCAGTGACCCGTAGCTAGAAAACTTGCTAATGAGTAATTAGATGTTTGGTGATCTCAGCCCATGAGTTATCAGATTCCAAACAATGCATGTTTTGGGCAAAATTCCCATGAATCTTCGTTATGGCAGGAATATAATACATACTTAATATAGTCTTGTTTCCTGAACTCCTTTATTTCTTGAAACAGAGGGCGCAACACAAGATGGTGCATCTAAGATTTACTGGTGCGTCCGATAGTCGCTCAAGCAGATCACGAGAGACTATAGGTGATGTGATACATGGCAAGGTATGCTCTATGTGTTATTCAGCCCTAGGACATAAGTTTATGATCGCTTTAGAATATATATACATGTTCAACTGGTGTTTATGCAAACATTCTTTTGCATGTGAAACATTTCCTGTATTTGTACAATGATGGGTACTTTATGTGGAATTTTACATGATACATGAATAAACTGAATTCATCATTGGTGGGAGAGTTAGGCTGAGTAACAACAAGTGGTTTTAGTTCGATTGGGAAGCGTATTACTACTTTACTAGTGAGCACAGAAGCCACACAAATGATTGTGTGCTGCTTTTTCTTAATCGTTCACTTTTAAAATGGGTAGGGCCTTCTTTCTAAAAAAATCCTTGGTGAAAACGGGATGCTAATTGTGAAATTTCGGGAACCACTTTTGTACTATTCCTTTTTTTCTTCGCTTTTCTGATTATTTTGCAGTCTCAGAAAATTGTTTCGAGATGTTCCCAAAATTTGGAGATATACTTAAAGAAAGCAGCGATTGACTTTTTTTGGGGGAAGAGCTTTTAAAAAGATATGAGACGTATTTTTGGATATTTGCTAATCATTTTCGAGCAAAAATTCACACATCTTCCCACACACCAGTTTCTGAAAGTCTAGATCTACTGTTTCATGCTCAACAACAAAGAAATAGAAAATATGCAACAGTCAACTACTGTTGGATATGCTTTGCATTTCAAGTATTTTTATGAGCTTTTAAAATCTTATGAAATGAGCTTCCAAAAGTTTGCTAACCAAGTTTTATTTAAAAGAGAGGCGACTGCCCAGCCTTAAGATGAGGCTCTTACAAGTGAACAGCAAGTTCGAGTATGAGAGAAGCTAAAAAAGTCTCGATACAAGGCCGCAGGCCAGACATAGTGACACAGTGCATGCGAATACCGAGAAGAAGAACAAAGCGGTCACACTCGGACCTTCAACACCACCTCCAGCACGTGCGAGGCTTACTCCCTAGCCATTGTGGTTTCGTCATGAAGTGGCTCGAAGGACTTGGCACCTTGAGCGAATCCTACTGATAAAAAGATCAAGACGCTGTCAATCCCGCGAACGCCCCAAGAGTCTCCATAGCTACAACAACACGACATTTTTGTACACAAGATCACTCGAGTGTTTAAGAACGTGTCCCGCCATCAATGCTTTGTTGCGAGCCATCCATACGTTGAATAAGACGATGAAAGTCCGCAAATCCGGCAGGGTTCCACGAGCATCCCGTGGCATCCCGAATAACACTCCACATAAATCGAGCCACGATGCAGCGAAAAAGAATAAGGTTGCACGACTCATCGTTGCCGCACCACATACACTTTCCATTACCCGGACCATGTCGCCTAAGAACTTGGTCACGGCCGGGGATTTGATTCCAGCCACTTGCTAGAGGAAAATCTTGGCCTTAGCCAGAATCCTAGCCTTCCACAGCCCACACGCGCCCCACCTAGGTACTGCCTTAAATATCTCTCGGTATAGAGAGTCCGTGAAAAAAAAACTGCACAGCTCAAGACGCGAAGATACCTCGTCCCTGTCCTGATTAATATGGACACTCTCCAAGTCGCGCCTAAGGCTTTGCCAATCCGTCGCTTCCATGTGGCCTAGAGATCACCTAAACCCTGGTTTCCAACAACTACCATCCCACATATCTGCCACCCTGGCGTCTGGGGCATCACTGACGGCGAAGAGCCTAGGGTATGATTCTCATAGAGGCATGTCCCTAATCCAAACATCCCACCAAAATTGGGCCAGTTGCCCATTGCCAACCTGAAATCTCGACCCCAACCCGAGAAGGTGTTGGACTTTCCCAACAGCTTCTGCAAATTGCGTCTGCTTCACATTTGCATTAATCTCAATCCCCTTGTTCGGAAGGTATTTATTCCTAAATATCTGAAGCCAGAGGCCCCCTTGACCGGTTAATTTTCCATGCCCACTTTTCAATACGACACCAATTCATTATCTTGGTGTTGATCACTCCCAAACCAAGTCTCAAAAAAATTAGTTTGCATCTTTCAACACACCATATTTTGAAAGGCTTCTTGTTTTTGTCAGATGACACGAATGAAAAACTGCAGCTATCAGCCATTTACAAGCTAATGGGAAATATCTATTGTGCTTTCAAAAAATCATGATGTGTTTTTACATTTTTCGCTAGGACTTAGTTTGCGTCCTCTCATTAGTTTTTCTCTTCTTTAAAATACTCAAAAGACTTCTTTTTAATCAAAGCCCTATAGCATCTGCATCGTTGAGTTTAGACAAAGGCTAAAAGGGACAATTCACCTAACATCATAAGGTCAACTGGGAGGTACTAAGTAATGCTAAGCTTGTTGTTTCTTATTTTGTTGAATAAAAAATTGAAACAGAAGGTGCCATCTTAACAAATGTGTATGTTGTGCTTAAGAGACGTGATTGAAAAATACACAAATATACATAATATTTCCGCCATAGCTGGTTTTGATGCAGATCAGACCTCGAGGTGAGGCTCGATTCATTGTTAGCCCGTGGTTAGCCCAATCTGTCGCAGCACTCTCCTACATACCAACAAGTAGCAGTTGCCAGATTTTAAATGGTGTTCGCAAATCCCCGAGGAAACAACACACCGACCCCTCGAAACGAAGGAATAACATGGACAAACCATATAGTGTCACCTTGTAATCTCACACCGTGGTAGAGGCTTTTTCATGGATTCTTCTAGAAACTTGGGAATTTTTACATAGCTTTCCCAGAACTGTATAAGAGGACTTTAACCCCCAAAACACTTGGTGTCTATTAATCAAATATAACCTGTCTTACATGGTACACACCTTGCTGTTTATAGTGTACAGCCGACTTTCTAATCTTGACATACACGTTTTGACCGATATGGTATTCTCGCGTACCAACATGGAAAGAAGCAATCTTATCTAAATATTCCGCTACTACTACTAAATGAAGCTGTCAAGTAAAGCTTGGGCTCCATGCACCATCTTAATCTCACATGATAGGCGGCCTCCACCCAAAATTGCATAAAGAGAATGAGTTGAGAGAACCTCGTGTCAGTCTTGCAGTTCTTCTCTTTACCTATAAGAAAAATAAGCAATAACTCTAATCTTATTTTGATCACTTCTATTTGAACAAGCGATCCACATTTTCTAATGTCCACGTGAAGGTGTAGGAATAGGAGTTCTTTGTATCTCTTCCTTGATTCTTTCTTTGGAACAGAAAAAATCAAGCCTTCGTAAGTTTTCATGCAGCTGGATTCTGTCTCTTATAGTATTCTGCTATTTGCATGGAAGCCACATATGTTCAAAATTGGAAACTGGTTGTCCTTTGCGTATACGTCATGCACAAACGAAGTCTTCTTCACTCTAGCATGTTCGATGCACCACACAGCATGCATAGCCATCATAGCAGTCAGGACTTTGGCCTCCTCACCTCCATCACTAAACTATTTTTTTGGCACATAAATAACTCTAATTTTGAGTTTACTGGGAGCACCCACAGCTTCAGTAAGTCCACTAGGGGACGCTATATCAGGTTGGGTATCGAAAAGAAATACATGGCATTTTTGTGCAACGAACCTTATTTTATTCATTTGGTCTACTCTTTGCAGCCCCCTTGCAGCTGACATTCTATACACAGTCAAAGTCAAACATTTTCAATAAAACTTTGGCTGTAAAAAACTAGGATTAGGTAATTGAAAACATATTAATATTTTTTGTCAACAGTGATCTAAAGTTAGTGACGATTATACAGGATTTGCTTTTCTGTGCAGTGGAAAGCCCTTGGCCAGGTGGGTTATGCGTTTTTTGTGCAGTGGAAAGCCCTAGGCCAGGTGGTCAGCCCAACACAAATGAAAACATTACAGCTACCAAACCATTTTCTGCACAAGTTTTTGTGAAATATGTACTAGGCTTTCAAAAAAGGCAATGTATCGGGTGAAAACTGTTGTTCAGTAAAAGTCTGGAAACTTTCCCTTCTAACCATCAGATCTAAAATGACGGTATTACACAAGAGGTGGGATACCCCTTAGCCACTTAAAACCCTTCACAAAACCCCCCTCACATGTCTTAATCTGGTTGTACAACTTCATCTCCTGCCTCCGATCCGCTCTAATCCCTGTCAAAACACATCACCGCCAGAGCTCAACAGGGACCCTGCTCTCGCGACGCCGAGCAATGAGCTCGAGCCTACCACTTTCCAGTCCTGCTTTTGGGGCTATGTCTTGATGCCCGACCAACTCGCAGAATGGCAATTCTTGAAAGCGGCGATGGCTGGCGAGCAAATGCTACATGGCAGGGGATTTCAAAACAATATGTGATCTTCCTTGCTGCACACGCCCTTGCTGGCTCGCTCTCTCGACTGCTTCCGAGGGACACCACAGCAGGCCCCTGCCCCCACATGCCGCAGACCATGAGACGGCTCAGGAACCCCTCTGCGGAAAACTAACTTAGTTGCTTTCTTTAATTAGTTGAGATCTGCACCTAGAGTTCATTTCTCTGCTCAATTTCTCCCATGTTTGCTACTTGTTGTAGAGTCAGTTCGGCAATGTGAGCTAATTGTGTCATGAATCTGATTTTTTTTTACTGTGTATCATGATTCATGACATCAGAGTTCAGACTTCGGCCGTTTTATTAGAACCTAAGAAACCTCATTGGAATTAGACTCTATTTGCCTTTAAACTGACCTGCAAGTTCTTTTACTCAGGAGCTTGCAGTCGTAGCCCCTAATTTCCTTGAAACTGAAATTGATTGCAAGAAGCTCTCGAGGGTTCAGATTGATTGGAAGAAGCTGGCTCCCTGGGACAGATTTCAAACAAAGTATTATCTGCAACTCCGAGAGGCAATACTGCAATAGTGATCCAATCTCACTTCCAACCGTTCACCATTGTTGCAAAGTCCAAATCAGCTCCGCGCCTTGGCTGAGTCTCATGCCGGAGCTGCTGTGCGCAGAATCCATCCATTTTAGATCTGATGGTTAGGAGGGAAACTTTCCAGATTTTCACTGAACAACCGTTTTCGCCCTTGCCTACAAAAAATCATGATGAGTTTTTAAATTTTTCGCTAGGACTTGGTTTGATTCCCTAACATTAGTTTCTCTCTTTAAATTACTCAAAAAGCCTTTCTTTTAATCAAAGCCCTATAGCATCCGCATTGTTGAGGTTAAACAAAGGCTAAAAGGGACAATTCACCTAGCATCGTAGGATCAATTGGGAGGTTCTAAGTAATGCTAAGCTTGCTGTTTCTTATTTTGTTAAATAAAAATGGAAACAAAAGGCACCATCTTAACACATGTGTACGTTGTGCTTAAAAGATGTGATTGAAAAAGACACAAAGATACATAATGTTTCCACCATTGCTGGTTATGATGCGGATCAGACCTTGAGGAGAGGCTCGATTCAATGTTAGCCCAATCTTTCGGGAACTCTCCTGATCTCCTCCATACTCACTAGTGGTTGCTAGATTTTAAATGGTCTTTGCAAATCCCCGAGGAAACAACACCCGACCCCTCGAATCGAAGGAATAACATGGACAGACCATATAGTGTCACCTTGTAATCTCACACCGCGGGAGAGGCTTATGCATGGATTCTGAAACTTGGGAATTTTTACATAGCTTTCCCGGAACTGTAGAAGAGGACTTTAACCCACAAACACATGGTGTCTATTAATCAAACATAACATGTCTTACATGGCACACACCTTGGCTGTTTATAGTTTACGGCCGACTTTCTAATCTTGACCCACACGTTTTGACCGATATGGAACTCTCACATACCAACATGGAAAGAAGCAATCTTATGTCTAATTTAAAGATTTTGCTACTACTACTAACTGAACCTAACAAGTAAAGCTTGGACTCCATGCGCCATCTTAATCCTCGTGCCAGTCTTGCAGTTCTTCTCTTTACCTAGAAGAAAAAGAAACATTAACTCTAAACTTATTTTTATCGCTTGCTATTTGAACAAGCCATGGACAGGGGTGTGTGAAGTTAGCTATCCATGTGCCAGAACCATGAGTTGGTTTCGAGATCTTATGGGTTTCAACTCTAGCCTGCCCCTATGAGTTGTTGTTGTTCCACATTTTCTGATGTCCACGTGAAGGTGTTGTTCTACATTTTCTGATGGCCACGTGAAGGTTTAGGAATAGGAATTCTTTGTATCTCTTCCTTGATTCTTTCTTCGGAACCGAACAAAACAAGCCTTCACAATTTTCCATGCAGCCGGACTCCACCTCTTATAGTCTTCTGCTATTATTTGCAAGCCTTCACAATTTTCCATTCAGCCGGACTCCACCTCTTATAGTCTTCTGCTATTATTTGCATGGAAGTCATGTATGTTCAAAATTGGACAATGGTTGTCCTGCGCACATACGTCCTGCACAAATGAAGTTTCTCCACTCTAGCATGTTCAATGCCCAACACAGCATTCATCGCCATTGTAGCAATCAGGACTTTGGCCTCCTCACCTCCATCACTATTTTTTGGGGCACGTAAATATCTCTAATTTGAGTTTATTGGGAACACACGCAGCTTCAGTAAGTCCACTAGGGGACCCTATCAGGCTGGGCATCGAAAAAAAATACATGGCATTTTTGTGCAACGAACGTTATTGTATTCATTTTATCTTCTCTGTACGGCCCCCTTGCAGCTGGCATTCTAGACACAGTCAATGTCAAAACATTTTCAATAAGACTTTGGCTGCAACATCTAAAAAAACTAGGATTAGGTAACTGTAAACCGTATGAACATTTTTTTGTCAACGGTGATCTAAAGTCAGTGACGATTATACAAGATTTGATTTTTTGTGCAGTGGAAAGCCCTAGGCCAGGTGGTTATGCCTTTTCTTTTTCTTTACTATAAGCTCTCTTTCTTTCTTAAAGAAAATTCCCCCCCTCCGTGCAGGCCATCACCACAAAGTTATCTCTTCCAAAAATCCGGACTATCATTAAGAAGTTGACTCCTAGACAGAGGGACTTGGTCAGGGCTCGCGGATTTGGAACAGTGCTGGATATTAATTGCTCTCAGTTGCCAAGGGATTTGGGAGTTCGCCTAGCGATCTGGTTTGATTGTGACAGTCGAACTGTAAATGTTCCAAATGTTGGCAGCTTTGAGATAAACCCTTTCACAGTCCACCAGATTCTTGGCATACCGTTGGGTCGCCGGTTAATTGACAAGATAGCAACAAGTGAGGCCAGGAGGGTCATTGCTGAAGACACCGGAATACATTCTACTGGGCCTAGCATTTCACACTTGATGAAGTTATTGTCCGATGACCTCCCCGATGAGAAGTTCCTTAGAATCTTCATGCTCATTTTATTGTCAACCTTCCTGTGTCCAACCAGCCACTCCTGTGCGAGCCCAGACTACTTCAATGGCATTGTTGAGACTGATGATATCGCCAGCTATGACTGGTGCAGCTTTGCATTAGACTGGTTAGTGGAAAAGATCAGACAGTTTCAGATCTCCTTGTCCAAGCCAACCATGAAAGGTAAAGAGCAGTCTATCTCTCTTGGAGGATGCTTGATGATTCCTTTGGTGAGTTATTGCCGCTTACATAAATCTTCTATGTGCATTCTTTAATTTCTTATCATTTCTTGAAGGTGGATGTTTTTCCTTGATATATGCTTTTTGTAATGGACATGGTGTAGGTAATGTTCTTTGATTATCTCGATCTAAAAGGAACAAAGATTCGCAACTGCATCCCACGGTTACCAGCTTGGGATGATAAAGCCATCAGCGCGTTTGACAATATAAATTTTGCACAACTAAAGGTTAGTTAAAACTCTCTGTATGTCTTTTTCCATCTCTTTTTTTCTTCTCTGTTTCCATGTTTCTCTATGCTTCTCAGAATTTTTTGTCCTTTTTTACTCACCGTGCTCATTTTGGGTTTCCCTTTTTCAGTTCAAAGACATAACTAAAACATGTTTCATGGAAAAGCCATCATGTACTCCATCGTCTCATTCTTTGCCAAATGGAGTTGCTCAGTTCATCGACGGACTTATCCCATCTGATGATGATGTGAGTATATGGAGTATCTACTGTTTTCTAACAATGTGCTGTCTCTACTCTTTTCTAACAATGTGTCATGATTTTCATGTCTCAGTTCAGGGCAAAGATGAAGGAGATGTGCGCCGAATTTTACAAGACGTCAATGGATGCATGCCTTAATGCACTACAGCCTGTCCTTGCAAAGCAGATGTGCACAATGGTTGAAACTATTCAGAACCAGGTCAATAACAGAGCTTCATCATCTTCAGCACCACCAGTCAATGAACTCACCTGCAAGGAATGTAACTCACAGAAATGCACAATGCGGGATGGTGTATCCGCCACACCGCTCCAAACAGTTATAGATGCAGAGTTTCACAATCCTTCAGTGGGTCCAGCACTGGGTACGGTAGAGAGCACTGGTGGTGGTGATATATTTCATTACGACCCAACTGATGAAGATGTGGTTAATGTCCTGCTGCAATTACGCCACCATGGAGGATCTGTTATGAGGGATACACCTTTTGGTGCCCTCGTCGCTGACCAAGCTGTTGCCATGTCAAGTGAACAAGATTTTGGTACGGAGGATCCGCCGTCAGCTGGTACTGAAGGTGGACACCCAGAAAGCAATCAAATTTCTGCTGCTGAATGCTCCAGGGCCTCCAAGAGGCACATTGACCTCGCTGCTTACATTGATTCTGAATCTGAATCCTCTAGGCCCCTGAAAATTCAGAAAACCAGAAATTCAGCTTGCGGAGACAAATAGAAACGTCGGGCTGGTAATGATTTTGCAAAACAGGTCCTAAACCCCAAACCTCCCCAGGTTTCTGCATCGATACCAGAACGCATGAGAACTAATCCCAAATCCTGAACGATTCGGTTGGGTGCTTTTGCAAAATTTGTACTGGAATTATCCTGCTCTGTTGCTAGCTGAAGCCTGACAATCAAAATGGCTGAAGTTATCTTGTCGTTCTAAAAGAGTGAAGTACATGGTTTGGTGGACTATAGAGAATATTGTTGTAAAATTTTGTTGGAAGTTGTATTCTCTCGAACTGCAATGTTATTCTGCCTGATGGATGTGGATCTGAACCCTGAAATCACATGCTCTCCTCATTCTGCTCTTGTGCTTCTTGTTACAGTTTTTTTTTTTACGTCTCAGAGGTTAGAGGACTCTGATAATAACGTCACTTTTAGGAAGGTGTTAATCTCTCGACTTGATAGTACCATTTTTATCAGTATTGTCCCGTCCTCAGACATCACCAAGGAACTTTTTCCTTGTCTGCACCTTTCCCTGAAAATAAAAGAACTTCAGAAAACACATGCATAGATTTTTCCTAAAAAAAACAAGAGTCTTAAATTTTTCTTGGTTTATATACATTGAGCATAATAGAAAGCTTCTTCGTCCGACTCGACCGTCACGGCAATTCGTGGCCATTTCTCTCAACTACCAAGTACCAAGTACCACTAACCTCTCCTCATGTGCTACCAGTAGTAGTACAAGTAATAGACAGGTCGACCAGGTGGTTAGACATACGAATATACAGATTAAAGTGATGCATGTGCCTTGCCCTTCTTCTCCCCCCCTTCCCTTGGTCTCGATTCTCAAAAGCAGATCGACGAGAAACAAAAAATAAAAGAGAGAGGGCAAGGCTCATCCCCACGCCGACAAAAAGGCCAGTGAGTAACTAGTGTAGTGTAGTAACAACGCTAACGATCTGCATTGCCTTCTGGGGATCCGGTCAAATGCCAGGTTGTTTGTTAGTCAGTGAATATGCTCTACTACTACTTACATCGAGCTAGAGCTACGCGATGGACGGGATGAGACTTTGAGAAAGGATCCAGTGAGGGATGGGATCGATGCATGGTCCTGACAGGTGGGGACTACCGGCAGAAAGAACTTAACACTGGCCATGACACGTCGAGCTCATGATCACTGTCATGGGCTCACGGTTCACGAGCAAGATGAGAGCTCTCGCTCCCAGTTCTTGTTTACTCTGACTTTGCAGAAGCGCTGAATTCTATGGCTCCCTCTATCCTCTTCTTCCAAGATCACCAGTATGATGCAGATCGAGGCTGGAGGTTTTTCTTTTGGGGTGTAAGTTGAAAGCTAGAGCATAGAAATTAAACTCGATCGTGCACTTGACTTGCAATGCGTAATTAGTATTAGCAGGACGTGTACTATGTGAGTGTCCGCGTCCATATAGTGGAGGATTCCCTCTGTCTTCTTCTTCTTTTCCAAGAGCTTAACCGCAAGTTGAGATGATTGTGCGTCACTATGATGTACTCCCTCCGTCCTATAGTAGTATAAAAGTAGTGTCGTCCCATGGTATAAGAGTAGTGTCAAAAACGCTCTTATATTATGAGATAGAGGGAGTAGAAGCCGGAATTTGACCTCCTTAATTTTGGAAGAAAAATTGCAAGTTGATAGAGCACAGAAATTAAAGCTGGTGCACTTGATTTGCGACGTGTAATCGCTATCAAGGCGCTGAAAATCTGGTGCCCTTGTAAACAAAATCATGGAGATTCCTTGACTATTTTCTCTCGACTGCTCACCTCCCAATTGTGTTCATGTGCTGCCCACTCTTTTAAGCTACTACTGCCGTGTGACTTGACACTAACATATTTGACCTTTGGCCCAGGAGTCCAGGACCCTTTTCCTCTTTTGACCTCTACCCCTAATCCCATGGTCCATGGATTCATACAGGCCTACCACTCCTGAAGCACATATTCTTGCTTGTTCCTAACCTCCTTGCCATCCACTCCAGATCATGATGTTGATCGTTGCTCCCGGCATCCTAAGCATGGTCAATTCTTCAGCCTGCTTTTGTGCCCCGGTTTGTGGGCCAAATGATGCATGTAGCATGAAACGTCCGCATGCTCGGCTTGACAGCAACACAAAAATAACTAACCGGTGCGCTTTACTCTAGCTGAAGCTGCGTGTGGTCCACTGCCCTACCAAAACATTGACTTAATTTATACCTGCTTGCTTGATGGTAACAGCACAAGGCGTTGGCTGCAGCGTCGTAGCCTTGCGCAGGGTTGATGGCAACGACACGAGCTATATGCCGCGCCGTGTATCATGATTCCTGAGCATGTAATGTAGCCTTGCGCTGAGTTATTTCTCTCTCGTTATTTTTGCTTATGTTTTGTTGTAAGAACCGAATGGAGGTTTTTCAAATGGATCAACACATGTTTGTGGTCTGGTCTACAAATTTTTTGGTGTGTGTTCCGGGGAAATTGTGTACGTCAACATATATTTATAGGTACTCGTTCTCCAACGCGGTCACATTATTTAAAACTAAAAGTAGATAAGTGTTTTCAATATCTTTTCCCTCACTAGCAATCGGTGCAATGCACATGGTGGCAAGCGTAATATGCTGTTTTTTTTCCAAAGGCCATGTATGTTACATAGCCACGTTTACACCTAAAGATAGGTACTCTCTCCGGCCCTTTTTACTTCCATATAAGATTTTTCTGAAGTCAAATTTCATCAAGTTTAACCAATTTTATAGAAATAATATCAACATTCACAATACAGAATCAATATCATTAGATCCGTCATGTATTTACTTTTGATAATGTATACCTTTAGTGATGTAGATGTTGATATTTATTCATATTAATATGGTCAAATTTTACAAAGTGAGTACAATCGCCAAGAGTCGTCAACAATCTTAGTAACTTGTTGGGCACTATGGATGACCAAATTATTTCATGTAAAGTTAACATCTTTGTTTGCCTGCTTTTCCATAGTGCCCAATAAATTTACTAATTTTTTTTCATATGCAGAGTGAAAAAGAATGGAGGGAGTAAAATCACCAAGAGTCGTCAATAACCTTACGGCTTGTTTCTCTAAACCGATGAGCCCATAAAGTGAAGTCATCATAATATTTTTTATCGCAGTAGTGTTGTGTTGGTAGATGTTATCAAAGAACATTGCATTCCTATTGTCCCAGAGTTTCCACGAGATGGTTGACGCAGTGCCAAACTTCTTGTAGAGGTATGAGCATCCGCTCAAAGTCCCAAAGGCAGTTGATGTCGTCATCCTGGTGCAGTTGGGGTCCTATGCCAAACCCTAAGGGATAGGGGCATCACATGATAAGTGTGATGTGGACTCTTGAGGTGGCAGAAACGTAGGGCGGGTGCTGTCATCTATGATATGCTTGTGGTAGGTTTACTCGGGTGTCTAACTGTTAGCACCCCAATACACCAGGATGGCACTGTGTTGAGGCCAGTGACTGAAGGCGGGTGGGCCCTAGCTGCCAGGATGAGCAAGAGAGAGAAGAGGGCCAACCCACGCATCTCAGAGGCGGAGTAGACCCGATGCTTGGCCGCCAGAACAACATATGTGTGGGTGGCGTGTGAGGATGAGGGGGCATCGATTGATTAGGAATTAGACTTGCAGCGACCAGTTCCTTCTCTCTCTCTCTCTCTCTCTTCTTCCCTAAACTCCTTGGAATTCTCATTTGTATTGCTAATAAATTGGATTCCAACTAAGTGAATTAATAGAGTAGATTGTTAATGGTGGTATCAAAGCTAGGGCCACCATGCCCACCTGGGGGCCTTCCCAGGGGGATGGGGTGTTAGATTGCTAGGTCATTGGACGTTGCTAGTGACTTTAGTCCCACTTTGGTTATGGGAGGAGGCTAGGAGCACCTTATAAGGGTGAGTGCCATCCTCCATTCAGCCTAGTCTTTTTGGATGTGATGGGCTCTCCTCTTGTAGTTGTGTGTCTGGTGCGCACTGGAAACGTTCAAACATGGGCTTGTAACTTTAGTCTCGGAAAAGCAGACAAACAAAGATGCTAACTTTGTTGGGCACTACGGACGACCAAATGGTAGAACCGTTCTGGTCACTGAAGTCTTCTAGCAATAGGAGGTTGTAAGCATGCTTGGCGGAGAAGTGAACTCCTCTGTTAAGGAATCAATCATCCGGGCAATCTCCAAATTGAAAGTCCTGCAACTAATACATAAGGGACTACAACTTCATGGATGCAACATGGATTAGAAAAACTCCAACAACTCCCTGTCCGTAAAAGATGTCGTTTACGAAAATTAGGGTAAAAAACTGTCAAACAACCCTGTAAACCATCCATAACTTAAGGAGTCTTGTAAACTAGACCCTTTCTTCCCTCATGTTTGGTTTACGGTAAGATGATCTTCCCGTATAATTTTTTTTCACGAATACACAAAAGTGCGTATCATTTCATTGATAGGAAGGAGAGTATAGGAGAGGTGGGGGAGGGTTGCAGCTCAAAACTTGTACGCTAGAGGCAAGGCATGGAGCCGCAGAGCAATAGTGACGGGGTGCTCGGCCCGATACAAAGAGGGCCTATGCTATCAAAGCGCCAAGACCACGCGCTCCTGCCCGAGCCCACACGCGGGCCTCTTCCTGGATCGATGAGAAGAGTCGCGAGGGGGAGGGGTTCTCGCCGTCGAAGACGCAGCTGTTGCGGTAACGCCAAATAGACCATGCCGTGAGCACCACCAGCGTGGTAAGGCCCTTGCGGTGTCCGGAAGGGGATCTCCTGATTGTGGCCGAGCACCAGGGAAGGAAGGCTTCGTTGCCAGAAGGGGGGAGAAGTAGCACGGGCCCAAGCAAGAACGTCATGCCAAATTTGACGGGAGAAAGGGCAGCCGATGATGATGTGCTGCATGGTCTCCTCAGCCTGGTCGCACAGGGAACATCGATCATTGTGCGGCAGGCCATGTCGTGCAAGTCTAGCAAACGTCCAGCAACGGTCGAGGTACGCGAGCCAAGTGAACA